TTCCGGCCCGTTTTTGCTCATATCTCGGAGGCAAAATGAGCAAGAACGCTCATTTGTACATCATTCTAGAGATAAATAAATGGCCTTTTTAGAAAATGAACCATCGATGGGGAAACGTTGCCAGTTTTCTCAAAAAATGCTTGAACTCAAGAAGTTTTAGATTTGCGTGGTTTTTTTTTGAGTTGCAAAATCCACTTGAACACGACGCTGCTTTTTTCGAAGTTTCTCAAGAACCATTCCAGCCAGAGAATTCGTTTTAGCATCGTTGGATAGAGAATTGAATGGGGGGGTCTCATGCCCCCCCCTGGATCTGCCCTTGGCCACGAGTTATAACTCATTAAACAATGAGTTAAAGCTCATTAACTCAGAGAGCGGCAACAACCCAAAAGCGCAACTCAACACAGTGTTACCCAGGCTTATTGCCATAAACCGCATCGATTTTGTGTTTTAACCGTTGCTTTCGTTGATGAATGAAGGCAATGACGAAACGTATTGTTTAAATGAAGGAAAGAGGTTTAAAGGAGAACTTCATAAAGTGTACGCAAATGAATCTAACTGTATCTGCTTGATTGATGATGAAAATCTTTGTTGAATATAAAATCGATTAGCGACAAGCGAGAATTTTCGCTCACGCACACTGCGACTTATGTTGAAATCGAGAAAACATGGAATTCGACCGAACCAGACTAGATTTCCAAACAAAAAAAGGTCGGTTTGATTCGAAAAAATGGCTCGAAATCGAGCAGATGCCGATAATCCCAAGACCCAGTTCGGTTCGAAACTAGGTCACCATCACAACCATTCATAATGCAGGGAAATGCGAAGGGGGCGCAAGACCTGCCTCCTGCTCTGTTCCTAATAATAAACACTCAAGAGAGACGCAAAAAACACACTGAAACAAACCAACAACGGCCTTTTGATTGATAATTGTCCTAAATAGTCCTGCTGGTTGAATGCTCGAAGCTCCTATAAAACTGGGGGGTGGTGGTAACCCAGCAGACTTACCTGTTAAGAGACTGTGCTCAGAAATTAGAACCATTTTTCCTCTAGCCACTAATCAGTCTGGATTAGTCCGCATCCATATTCAAATATCACAATTCTGGAGCACAACACAACGAACACACTCTAACACCAAAACGCGAACGAAAATTCCTTTACAGGGCCGAAACTAGTTAGTCAAGGAATATACGAAATGATAAAATGCGACTAAATTCTATAAAATTTGCAATATACTGGGAAAAACATTGTAGTGGAGCTGCGTCCTGCGCGCTCAAACTCAGCCAACAGCTGAACGCTTGCGTAAGGACAGAAAGGTCCTTGCAAGGTCCTTTTTAGCCTGCTGTGTGTCCCTCGAATTTAGAGCCCATTAGAGCA